GATACATTCTCCGGTGCTTCACGAGTTGGCGTCATACGTAATCCGGAACAAGACCGAATTTACTCTCAACAGAAATGTTTACATACAGTAGCCGCAAGGCAGAGTAATAGTATACACGCCAAAATTTACAATATGAAATAAATCGCCAAGATTTTTCACATTCTTCCTAAAGAAATACGAGGAACAAATTAAACTCCCCTGTTTCAGGGAACCTTTAATACATAAATGCTTGAATAATATCTGTGATTTTGTTATTGTGCAAAAGTTATTTATTGTCTTATTTTATTCATTGTTCTGTTATGTCGTCTATGTATACTAACTGACATATAAATCCGAACACCCAGTTTAAATGGTTTTATTTTAATAAAAGTTGGTGAATGTATTTATCTTACTGTAAATAACAAGTGAAAAAATTTTCAGCCTTATCAGTTGGACATTCCGGTTTTTATACTGCTTTTTTTAATTCACTAACGCTCTAAAAATGAATATTTCAGCCGCAGTAAAGAATCAACGTTGGCGGATTTTGGTTCTTGACATCCTTTACGATCGGTTACGATGGCTAGAGTACGGAGACCTGTTCGATTTCGTCAACTTAGTGAGTTTGATAGGGGCCGTATAGTGGGACTTAGGGAAGCTGGGCTTTCTTTTCGGGCAATTGCAGTTTGAGTGCAAAGAAGTGTAGACACTGTGGTTAGGTGTTGTCAGGCATGGCTTCGAGAAGGCCGTACGCAAAGAGCAAGGGGCACTGGACGCCTCCGTAGAACAACAGACCGTGAAGATCGCCGCCTAAGATTATTGGCCTTAAGGGACCGTTTCTCCACTACCAGGTCCATTGCAAATGAATGGTTTGCAGAACACGGAAGACCTACTGGCATGCGAAGTGTTTACCGACGAATGAGAAGTTTTGGCTTGTTTTCATACCGGCCACACTGGGTCCTCCCTTTAACTCGAGAACACCGACGTAATCGCATTGAGTGGTGCAGACAACGGTCACTCTGGGATCAGGAATGGAACAGTATTGTCTTTAGTGACGAGTCTCGATTTTGTTTAGGCATGCACGATGGTCGTGCCAGGGTTAGAAGGCGACGTGGTGAAAGGAGGAATCCACAGTTTTTTGTTGAAAGACATGTTCATCACACTGTTGGAGTTATGGTTTGGGGTGCTATAGCTTATGGTTCCAGGTCACCTTTAATCTTCATCAGAGGTAACATGAACGCGCAGCGTTATATCCACGAAGTTCTAGAACCCCATCTTTTACCCTATCTTGACACCCTGGCAGATCCAACTTTCCTACAAGATAATGCCCGTCCACATGTTGCAAGAGTCACAATAGACTTATTTGAACATAATGATGTCACATTGTTACCATGGCCACCAAGATCTCCCGACTTATCCCCAATTGAGCACGTGTGGGATATGATGGGTAAGGAGATTGCTCAATTTGCAACGTGCTCCTCAGACTCTAGAAGCACTTCGAGAGGAGTTGGTGGTTTCCTGGAATGAGATACCACAGGAGGACATTGACCACCTGATCAGAAGCATGCCTAGGCGCGTTGGAGAATGCGTAGCACATCAGGGTGCATCCATACATTATTAAAGGTCAAAGGGCTTTAAAGCAGTGCAATCATTTTGAAATTTTTACTTATTATGCTTCATTAAGTACTTATACAAAATTTTATTAAAATAAAACCATTTAAACTGTGTGTTCGTCACTTAGTATATATAGCTGTTCTATTGACGACTCTTATACAAACTTTATCCAAGGAAAATAAATGACTATTATTATTTTGCTTGCAGATATGTGCGGACTTTGTCAAGCGTATCTTTTTTATGTCTGTATCATTTTTTTCTGTTATAATATATCTGTTCCTATAAAGTTTAGTGTCACCATTTTAAAAGATGTTTTGAGGAATGTATTTATATACAAGTGTGTGAGGTTCAATAAATTTATGTTTCCGTATTTCCCCGTATTTGCAAGCATAGAGCTTCGTGCAGTAATGTGGTCTACAGTTTCTATTTGTTGTTTGCATAATCTGCACCTGCACCTGGTGTTTTGTGTTGGTTTTGTATAACCTTCAGATTCTCTGTATGTATTTCTTCTCATCAGCCAGGCATTTGATGTTGTTTGATCTATACGTGGCTCTGCTAGGTAGTGTGGATGTTAACCATATAGAATTTTCTTTTTCTAACTTGTGTTGTCGGATGTAACATTGTCTGTTGGATTGTATGATTGGCCGTTGCGATTCAATGGGAGTAGCTGATGTATTTACATGAATGATGGCTTTATGTTTGTTACTCGTCATTGCCCTTTCTAGAAAATATGTTCTCAAGTACTACCGGGTGACCAATATTATTATTATTATGTCTTTATTGAGTATTGTTATATACAATACAGAAATCTGCAACAGGGCGAAGTCTAGCCTAAGCTACTCTACTTAACCCTAAATAAAAGCTAACAATGAAGAAAGCCACAGATAATACATAAAATGCAATCATCAGAAGTGATCAAATACAAAATAGCATAGAAAATATGAGATAATTTGAATGAAAATAAACAAAAGCCTAAGACACAAAACCGCAAAGCGAAGAGTATATAATCAAAAACTATTGAAGTATCCATTACATTGACTATTGTAATAAAATTGCCTTACCAGGACTTTAAACATCGGTACAGAACTAAACTTAAGCGCGTCATCGATACTATTGTATATAGTAACAGCATTATATGAAAAAGATTTTCTAAATAAAGATAAACGAAACTTAGGAAGAGAAAGTTTATTAGTGAACCTCGTATTTAAATCATGCAAATCACGCCTAAAGACTAATTTTCTTTTCAGGTAAGCAGGGCTCTGTGATGATAAAATACGGTGAACTAAAATAGAAGTATAATATTTATGAGTATATTCCAGTTTTAACCATTTTAACTCATTTATTTTAGCTGAGATTCGATCAAACTTTTTGAGCCTAAAAACAAATCTACAACAGCAATTTTGTACCTTTTGAAGTCTGTATTTCAAAATAGACGTTAAGAAGGGATAATAAAGCGTGATTGCATGATTTAAAATATAAAACTGATTTAACCGCTTCTGACCTTTTCATGTTGATTTTCGAAAAATAGGGTTTATGTCAACAAAGCAAATACTGTAGAGCGGCTAAAGAGTAATATTACGTAAGCGATTGAAAATATTTCTCCTGAAGCCTACCAAAAAGTAATGGAAAATGTAATCAAGGGGGCTCAGGTTCTAGGGGCGGCCATTTGTCTGATATTATTTTTCATACATAATTTCTAAGCTTCAACAATAGACTAGATGGGCGTATTTTATTTCATTTCACAAATATTCAAGATACAAACCAGTCAGTTTATTGTATTATTATCATTATTATTATCATCAATATTATTATCACTTAAGCTATTATTATAAGTATTTGATGTATTTGCATGAATGATGGCTTTATGTATGTTACTCGTCATTTCCCATTCTAGAAAATATTTCCTGAAGTACTATCATTATCATAATATTGTTATAATTAAAGCTATTATTATATCATAAGTAAAGGCACTTTTTAGGAAGTTCAGACGGTTAGCATAAAATTACGTTTTTTTCAAATAATTTGTTTTGCTTCAGTGTTTTATATACTATTTTACATATTATTATACAAGGACTCTTTGGAAAAAAAAGATAAAGAATCCTGTTTTTCATTAGATACAGAGCTCAATGGTTACAAATCTTAAGAAGGATGTTTTTACTTTCTATAATTTTATGATAAATATTATTTGTGTAATTTCCTCGGGGCGAGACACAATTATTCAAGAAAATTGATTTCCACTGTGACTATCTCAACGAATTAACTCATATAATTTATTACTGCTGCAGTACATTCCATTTAACATTCATTCTTTATTTACTGATTTATTTCTGTGCGCTTCGGTTTGCGGAGCTCTTTATTTCTCATAGGCGAACATCATTGTTGTAGATATAATCACTTTTATTAGAATTCCCGCTGCTGTGAATTTCAAATATTCATTACTTGGAAAATCGATGGAATTATTAGAAGACCTCAAAGTGATATGCTAATTTTCTCTCAACTGTCGCGGCGTACCGTCTGCTGCATTTTCAAGGAGATTATAAGTGGTGAATTTTTAGCTACCGTCTTGAAAATGTTACTTTCTTCCCACGCAAATACTCTATGCTGTAACAACAAAAGATTCCAAATCGCAGCTGACAGAATTTTGTCTGAGCTACCCTCAATTGGATATGCTTTCCGTGACCTTAACCAACAACATACGATGTTACTTCGCGCTTTTTTGCAGTCATCAGTACATTATAGGTCCAATCAATAGAGACAGACAACGGAAAAGAAACATTCGGCCTAAACCGTACTGGTGTTTGCTAAATACTATGAGATAACGTTGTGTTTGGTTACAGAAACAGAAAGCAAACGTATCATACTCTGCCTATGTTTAGTTTATGCAACTTTTGTATGGTACCTCAAAACTGGTAGCATGGTGAGTATTCCGCTGACTGGTGAGGGGTTGTAATGGGTGTTTACGCCTATGCTTTGTCTACGTTTCGATGTCGATGATACGTATACAATATATACAATGATCTATAGGATAACATATGTGAAGTTAAGGCGGATTTCCACCAAACGGACAAAACCGCAACAAAACAGCAACTGTGTCGATTTCGACAAAAAAAAACTTTTGTTGCCGAAATAAGAAACATTTTGAAGACAAAAGGTTTCGGTATTTTGTCTCTGTTTTCGTCAACAGAGTTCGCTATGTGGAAACGGTCGGCGACAACAACAGTTCATTATTTTGTTTTGGTATGCGATATGCATGTTGTGACTTGTGTAAATTCATCATACATTTTTATTAAGCGTTTAATCTGTGGTAGGTATGAATTTCGACTATCGCCACTAGCCAGAGTATATTTATTAATTTGTTTTATTGTTGTTTATTTCGAAAAACAATGAGATTTAATTTTCCTGTGTAGAAAATGAGCGAAAAAAAGCAATGGACAGTTGAGGAATGCAGCAATTTAATTGAGCTCTACCGAGATCATACAAACTTATGGAACGCTTCGCATATAGATTACAAAAGCCGAATAAAGAAGTATGATTCTCTGAAGGAAATAGCCCAAAGATTTGGAACGAAGTATGAAGAAATTGAACGAAAAATAAAAAATTTAGTTAGCCAGTATCAACGGGAAAGAAGAAACTACAAAAAATTAAAGAAGTCTGGAGCTGGGCACACTTCTGCAATGTGTTTTTTACACGACAAAAACAAACCTAGTAAAGGTAGGCAAGTCGGATTAAATTTTGAGGTAAGTTTTCAGTATTGGCATTTTTAAAAAATTAGAAAGAGACTATTAGAACGAACTGAAAAAAAAACATATATTTACGCAAAAAACAAGAAATAGGGGAAAACATTATTTATGACAACTGGTTTTACAATACTAAGCATATTTTAATTGCCACGAAACTTGGCCTATTTCTGATATGAAATATTCGCTAAACTCGTCCCTCACTTCTTTGGCATCATGCGGTGATTTTCTTGCTACATTTTTAAGGGGCAATAATGACTGAATTGATTCCCTATCGGTCCTCCACTGTCTTGGAATGATTGTTCCGGTATAGAAATCCTCCACATCAAATGAACCAGGCGGAGTATACATATCCTTTGCCTGAGCATTACGGCGTAAATAATTATGCAGAAAAACGCATGCTAGGACCACCTTTTCTGCTTTTGAGGGTTCTAGTAGCATAGGTTTTCGAAGTACTCGAAAAACAGATGCTAATATCCCGAACACGTTTTCGACTACTCTTCTGACCCTGCTTAGACGATAGTTAAAAATTCGTTGTCTTGATCCTCGGTCTTGGTGTCCTGCGTATGGTTTCATGATATTAGTTGTCAACGGAAATGCATCGTCTGCTACTAAAACGTACGGCACATTTTTCTCACGTCCCGGAAGCTGTTTAACTTAAGTGCAGATTTATTTAACGCTTTGGCAAATCCAGTGCTTTTGAAAACTCCACCATCTGATATGCGGCCTTGGCAGCCGACATAAACATAAGTGAAATTGTAGTTCGCATCAACTATAGCAAATAAAACTATACTGAACGTTCCTTTATAGTTAAAGAACTCAGATCCACTAAATTTTGGCGATTGGATAACAATATGTTTGCCGTCCATACTTCCGATGCACATTGGAAAATTCCAAATATTTTGAAAATCTTTTGCCACTTTTACCCATTCTTCGGATGTCTTTGGAGCCTGAAACAAATATATATATATACATACAAACCATTACACTATATATATATCAGTTTGTATATATATATATATATATATATATATACAAACCACTACCCAGCATAGCTTAGCATGATTTAATAACATTAATTAATTATATATTATCACGGTATAAATAGAAAATATTCTCCTGAGCAACAAAAAAAAACTATACAGGGTTTTTCCATTTAAAATATCAATATCTATGATAATATAATTGTTTTATCTTCCGATTGTCTGCGCCACTCCTTTTTTCGCAATAAAAATAATTTTTTTGTTCTCAAGAGTTGCTAAAAAAATGGCCTCGTCTTTTTCTCACCTTCGGCCATTGGTTTTTGGTTTTTAAAAATATAATTATTTCTTCACGTCCTGTTATGCATCTTTATGAAGTAGGCAGATGCAAATAAATTTATTTTATTGATTTTGGGATATTACAAAAATAATGGTTATTTTGAAAAAGAAGCTGCTTAACTTTATTTAAACTTCTTATTTTCGACATTCTGTGTCTTTTTCAACCAAGCATTCATGTCCTGCTACTGCAGAGTGAACCACCCTATATATTAATACTAAATTTATTATTTCAGGACAGCAACCCATCAAGCAGTGAAGACAGTGATGACAATGAGATTCAAACGTGTGAATTGACACGTAGTGCCAATGAGAGTATGCATGAATTGGATGCTAATGTTTCAGACGTTCAGATAGAAAACCAGTAACAGGAGATCTAGGAGCAAAACATAGAACAACAAGGGTCTTCGGTGTCTGACGTTCTGAATTCACCAGAAACTGAACCATTCAAAACACCAAACACAAAAGAGGGCACAAAAAACGACCATCTAAACAGCATTTATTATCAGCTCCTAAAGCTGCTAAGAGTTCCAAATTAGTAGATACTGTTAATACGAGTACTTCTGCTAAAGAAGCCTTTGAAATGATGAAATCCGTGTATCAGAAAACACAGACAACCGAAACACGTGACAAATACTCAATATTAGGTGAACTAGTAGGACATACAATACGTAACTTGAAAACAGATTTTGCAAAGGCTACAGTTGAACACCAAATACATAATATTTTATACGATGCCCAAATTGGAAAATATGACTTTAGTCAACATTCTTCTCTTACACGTTATTATTCATATACTTCACCTTCTGATAATAGTGTCCCGTCAGCGTCGGCGTCTCCTCATTCTGAAGAAACTCATACTTATGAAACTAATGATGGCTTGAGCTGGGCAATAGCAAACTCATTTGGTACAAACAATAAATAAATGAAGCTGCGATAATATTTACTCATGTGAAAGATGATATATACTTAGTTTATGTAAACATTTAAAAATAAAGATTTTTGTATTACATTTGTACTTACATTAACATATTCCTGTAGAACCTCACAAAGAGCATCACATACTTCCGGCACGATTCGTGATATTGAAGAACTAGAGACTTTAAACATATACATTAAACTTTTAAAACTATCACCAGTAGCTAAAAATCCTAAGGTTATTGCCAATCGATCTTTCACAGATATAGCATCTCGGTAATTTGTATTCTGTTTGCAAATTTTTGGTCCCAGTAGATATAACAAGTTCTCAAATTCGTGATTGGACATTCTTACAAAATTATGAAATGACGATCTCAGTCCTCCACTTATTCCTATGTCATCATCTACCAAATCTGCCATAATTTTGTCCGTTCCATAATCTAGTCGTCTTCTTAAGAATGATCTCATCCAGTATCTTGGTCTTTTTCGCTTTCGCTTCTTTTGCTCAAAAGATTCGATTATAAAAAAACCGCACGCCATTATAAAAACATCGTCTAGAGAAGGCATGATGAAAACTGTTCGTGTAGTGGAAACGAAAGAAGACACATCAAAACAAAACACGCGAAAGACTAGTTTTTTTGTTTGTTTGGTGGAATTCGAGTTTCGAGTTTGTTTTCGAAACTACAACAAGATTATTGTTTCTGTTGTTGAAATTAAAACTAGTTGCAAGCGAGTCCGTTTGGTGGAAATCCGCCTTTAGGTTTACTCGCAACTACGTGTATCGGCAACTACGTATACAAGCATGACTAGCGCGCTAAAAAGAATAAAATCGAAGAACTAGGGTTCATTTTGCTTGAAAGTGGAAGAAAATATTCTGTCAAGTGTCACATCTGTATGAAAAGTTGTTTTAGCAATTTGCACTTGCCTAATAGAAGCGCATATAATGCTAGAAACTATAGCAAGAAGAAGTAGTAAGAAAGCATGTGAAGGGTACCGGGGAATAACGACAATAGTCCATCCGGACTGATTTCGAGAAAAACGGTAATTAAGGTTTACTTACTCGTTGGAAAGTAAAATTGATGAAAAAATAAGTCGTAAAGAATATCTTTGCTAAACAGTGTGTTTATTGGTAAAATAGTTTTTACAAAGTGAACTTTAACTCAAAACTAGTAACGTAACAAACAAACGATGATGTTCAGCTCTGGGCTTGTGCCACTTTTCCCCTGCTTTAAGCGTCTATTGGCAGGTCATCAAAATATTCATCACTGCTGTCTTTTGGATGATCAAGAGATATTAACTGTTGATAAAGTGCCCTGTCATCTGCATTCTCTAGAAATTTGGCCAGATCCTCCAGATTCTTCCATTTCTTACTTTCAATTGGGATTGGGCCTGGGTTTTCTCAATAAATCTTCTTCTCGTTTTTGTTGATCTTTTTGCTTTTTTTTAGATTCTTTCGAATTATCTTATCAAATTTAGAACTAGCGTATAGGTCCATGTACGTCGATTTGTGAAAAACTAGGCGAGGATTCTGTTTACAAACTTGAGCATTCCTGACTGGTCGGGTTGGAAAGGGGCACTTCGTTGAACAAATCGCCATAAAAACGTACTCCAATCTTGAATATCTAAATTTTTGTCACAATCAATAACTTCAAATGGTGTAGGTTTCACAGGGCAATTTTTCGATTTATCTCTCCAGTCATCCAGTACCTCAGTGTATGCTCTTTGGTTCACGAGACTCATATCTCTATCTCACTCGAGGTATGAACGTCCCCTGATCGGGAATATTACATTCACAGTAATAAAAGTTTTTATTTTCCCCTGCACAGGTGTCACAGAAAATGGCAAGTTTTTTTTACTTTGATAGGCAGGATGTTATAAAAAAGTGATACAGCATAGAACAGACATCGGTATCTCCTTTCTTAACAATAGATTCATCGTAGGTATAAAAGACAGAATGTGGATGTTAAAACTGATGAAATTTAGTTACCGCTTATAGTAAACATCGTTTGTCGTAATATTTGGACATGGCAAGTTTTTTTGGCAATCCATCGTGATACTTTCGATAGCGGGGAACATCGAGGCACGTTTGCGGTAAGTTCTCTTTCGACTGTAAAATCGCTCATTCCTTTTTTGATGTAGTGTCTTCTCAAGTAGCTATTTCTCCAAATTATTACTTGCTGACTGCCTTGTTTGTTCCGTGTGGGAATTCAAGGTAGCGGTAAGTGGAGCTGTATCAGCTTTTAAGGAATCACACGTACTACAAGTATCCTTTCGTGGATAACCGAACGATATATTGATGTTGTTTTCAAAGATTTCTCGGAAGGATTCATAGCAAATCTTGTTTTCAACATTGCCAATAGAATACATTTTGTGTATTTTGCGATATTTAGATTTTCAGGTAGGTAAACTTTTTGCGAATCTGCCAAAGAATATTCAGATTTGCGGCATTTGAGGCTCTTAATAAACTCGGTCACTTTCTGTTTTGTGTTTTCTGAAAGTTTGTGAAATCGTGTGTTGTGTTTTCCACGCATGTCGACGGGCGATTTTCCAGTTGCAACTAATGAGTCTCTTATGTAAAGACAATAAAGCCTTAAGACAAACTGGAACATCACGTATAATTCCATTTTCACCCAATCGGACATGATAACTAAATAAAGCATTATTAAGCCTTGACTCTGCTTCATTTTTTCGAGGGCGTCTACGCATGACAGGAAGAACAGTGATAAGACCACTAAAATAAGCGTTTTGTGCATGAGTGTTTCCTAGTTCATAAAGTTCACGAAGAAGTCTACAGCGTTCAGGTTCAGGAACAGTAGTAAAACAGCGAAAACGTTCACAAAAACAATCAGATCCAAGTTCGTGGGTGGCGCGCAACGTGTTCATTACGTCTCTTTGTCTTCCTGTTTTTTTGAGTTTTTTTTTGTTTCTCTGTTTGATGGGCCTGGTTCATTTTCACTTGAAACTGAATAGTCACTATCCATTCGACACAAAACCCGTATTATAAACTAAATTAGCGAATATAGTCAATATTCAAAATATCAGCGTATACAACATACGTGGACTCTAATAGTAAACTAATGGCTGATGCAATAATGAAGCGCCCAAGCGGTACGGCCGATGCAACGCCGCCTTTCCATATGGACTGATGCCGTTTTTCCATACACGCGCAGGGACTCATACCATTCTTCCCCGGCACAATGAATCTTATAGCTGTTGTTTTGTGAACATAAGCCCTTTTTACAATTTAAGAACTTGGTTACATGATTAATGATTGAAAACTATACCTTTATATATAAATTTAATATACTTTTCCTAATTATTCTAGTTAGCGAAAGGAGTCATGGAAGTGATTGATTGATGCACGAATATTTCAATGTAATACTGTCAGTCGAAAGTTTCAAGATGACGGCTAAGCGCCTTGTTAGATCATTTTTTTGGGCACACATGATACGTAGCTTTGAAGTTCTTTATGAATATTTTATAACATCTATAAATTTACTGTCTTCCAAAATGGCGGACTGACAGACTGTCAAAGTCGAGCATTTTTGTACAATGGATCGCTTATAACGAACAAGCAATCATAAAATGGTTGTATTTAACCTTTTTCTCTTGGAAGGATCTATCCGAATGAGTAATGAAGTACGAAACAATCCATTTGAAAAAAATGTCAAAAATGGTCATCTTTTTGACACGCACAGGGGTCAGGGCCGATGTCAGTACAATAATCTTGGAAAATAATTGAAATTCGAGAATTTAGAAAATAAATTTGTAAATTTTGAAAAAATTTGGAGATTTTAGAAAAAATTGGATATTTTGAAATAAATGTGGAACAAAATAGATATACAAAAAATTAAGGCTCTTGATTTTCTGTCATCTTAAGACTAAAAATATAGTAAATAAATTTCATAGTTTAAAAACTAAGGCCCGTATCGTCAGTCGTCCCTACAATTGTAGGGCGCCTTTATGGCCTCCTTGATTGTCGTAGTTTTCTACTTCTCCGTGTCAGCGCTCTATTTTGAGGTTATGTCACAAACATCAATTTGCATCAAATTGTGCTTGGTTTTGAGTTATATCAGCCTGAAATTTCCTACAATTTAAAATGAAAACAAATCTTCCCAATAGGAGAGCGCTGATGCTGACACGGGACAAGTGTAATCTAGAAATTTTTGAAGAAGAGAAACGAGTATGACAATCAAGGAGGCCATAAACGCACCCTACAATTGTAGGGTCGACTGACGATACGGGCCTAAAGGAACTTGCTTCAACAGCAAATTGAACTAGAAAGTCGAAAATAATTTTTAAGTATAGAAGAGTTTGTATTACTGTAGAAAATCCAACAATCAACTATGATTAACTAATTTGGAATAAGATCAATATAAAATTTAAGATATTAATAAAAAAGTGAATTATAGTGAAAAAGCGTGGGGTGCACTTAACTACATCTTCATAATGAAACCAATTTTGTAAATAGCAACTGAAAGAAATAATTCTCACATATAATATCAAGCACATTATGAATGTCAAAAACGGTCATCTTTTTTTAAATGGAATATCCCATATTTTATTGTACATCCTTCCAACGTGAGTTCACTGATTAGTGCGTTATAACCGCACGGGTATTTCGTATTTTGAAAAGTGACATATGGCATTACTGTAGGTGTAAGCTGTAAGTTGTATAGCATAGCTTGGAGGAAACGGCAATGCTTAGGTGCATAGTGAGGATTTTTGTGCTAATAATATGTGTTAATGATAATTCCATTGGAATCTTGTCTCAAATCGCATCCACTTTTTCT